ATGTGGTTTATTAATATATTATGTGAATAATATATTAAAAGAGAAATCATATTGTTTAATTAATATCGGTCAAGAATTAATTAGGAATTAATTTTGTGGTCAAAAGATATTAATTGAACTAAGGGGACTGGAATTGCAATTATAAGATAATTGGATTTTGGGTTGAGGAACCCTAAAGATAGGGTGGACGAAATCCTTATGGATAGCCCATAAGATTTCGTCCAAGGGCTTGATTCTGGAAGATTCTTATGGGCTGCTTAGGGCTTAAGCAACCAGGATAAGTATCTGACTCAAACCCTAATTCTGCAGCTATATATATACCCCTTGGGGCACCTAAATTTGGCTACCAGAACCCTAGAGGATCTTATAGCCAAAATTAGTGTCTCTCCCCTCTCTCTCTAACATTTTCCAATTGCTTGTGGTGTTTGTGATCGATTAGAGGTATTACATTTGTGATACTAAGCTCTCAAGGCAAGGATCTTCAAGCTTCAATTGAAAGGTAACATTCTTACTTGTTTAGTTATGTTAATTTCAATTTCTATATAATAGATTTAGGGTCTATAAGCTTTGGATGATTGCATGTACAATTAGAGAAACCTAGATCCAAAGCTTTAGGGTTTGCTTGTGCACCATAGGATTGATGTAATGCTCAAAACCCATCATTGGTATCAGAGCCTAGGCTGCTTTCCATTGTATTTGATGCATTGTTTGATCATTCATTGCTTGAAAAGTCGAAATTTCTTGCCCCTGACTGATGTACTCGTCTAGTCACCAGATGAACTCGACGAGTCCAGTCTGTGACTCGGCGAGTTAGGCTGTTAGGTGGTAGATATTTCGGGATTTTGGCCTATTTTGGATTAGGATAATTACCAAAAACATTTTTGATTGTTAAAATCCGATTTTTTTTATATTGTGTTGATTATCATAATCCAAATAGAAGATAATTGTCATTTAATAAGATAATTATTGCCTTATAAGATATTTAATTATTTGTATTATTTGATGTGAATTATCTTGCCATGAAATTGGATTAGGTCAAATTTAGATAATCACTAATTATTTGATTAATTAAATTATTTGTAATTTGATCTATAAGGTTTTGAAAAGTTTCAAAACTTGCCCTCAAGTTTTGGAATTTAAATTTTTGATTAAAAGTTTTAATTTTGAAATGTTGAATTCAACCCTAAATAATTAGGGTTTGGCCTGGCCGAAGTACGCCCAACGTACTCATGCAGACACACCCCTTTCTTAAATTGCCATATGGGACCCCTTTTTGCAAATAAATCTCACCCAAAGTGTCAAAATGTAATATTTGAAAATCGAGGTATTGCAATTATCCCCCACTTAAATTAGATTTCGTCCTCGAAATCATTCCCTTCTACATCCTTTTCCCAAGACAAACCGGCCTGACCGAACTTTCTGAGTTCCAAATACATCTTAAGAATCACCTCCGCACCGCCAAACAACTACCATATTGTTGTCTAAACTCAAAATTTGTCGGAAACACCACCCCTAGCGAGGAACGAACGCTGGCTTCTTGCCCTTAGCCATCAAAACATCCAACCGTTGCGATTGAACTGAACGATTATACACCTACTAACACAATCTCGGCTCACCACATGGTTCAAACCAATTAATCACTGAGCCTTAAGATTTCCTTCAATGCACTGTCATATGCACCGGGTCTGCAACTTATGTCTGGAATACCCTTGCAAGGTCCTTAACATAAATCTGGATTACCCTCGGATACTATACCGATGTTGCTATCATACCAACACTAACATGACGACCCGTGACCAAAACCACAGAGTATAAAGATTCTCAACTGACAACTTGTTAATCTGCAGAAACCCGAATAACCTTTCCTTAAGCATAACCCAAGCACTACACGATCCACCCGAACGTATATATAGTTTTAAATTTTGTAAGAACATAAAAGTAATATTTAAAATTTGTAACAATATGAAAGAAATTTTATCTTTTTTATTTTACCAAGAAGACATCTGTAGATTTGCAAATAGGTGAATCAATGTTTGCAACAAAAAAAAGTTGCACATACCTTTTTAGGCATGTGGTTTCTAAAAAACAAAAAGTCTGCGGGAGGAAACGTCTACGCGCTATAAGACAAACAACGAGATGAAGATCTTATTGAAAAAAACAAACGCCTAAGTATTAAAAGCTACATTACCATTTTCAAAACAAGTATTTTTTAGTTCAATATTGCATAAAAGATTTCAAAAGTTTCATAGTGTTTGAGAACAATTTATTATTTATGTCACCACGGAGAATGGTACCTTATATAAATATATTGTTTCCACAAGATTTGCGTTACATCACAATTTGAACCCCCTATTGGCACTCATGTAGATTCCGGAGTCGACAAAATGATAAAACACCATTTGTTCATTTGGACGGGTCCTTTCACTCATTTCTTGAGTGATTGGATGGTATGTCGACACGGTTGAGACAATTCTAAAACCTTTCATTTTGTAAATGAGTCATTTTCCTACTGATTAGATACCATACTTTTTTCTTGCATATAGATTAGATGTTGCAATTTAATTGCTAGCAGCGTATTCATTATTAACTTTGACTTTCATGATACTTGATTTAATTAACAGAAAATTGTTATTATATATATATATATATATATATATATATATATATATATATATATATATATATATATTCATATCGTTTGCTATAAAGATATAGTGATAAATACTAGCAAAAATTTTACTTTGTTTTTATGCCAGAAACAGGGATATCCAAAGTGATAAACTAAATTCTAATCCGTAATAAATACTTATATTTTTTTAACTCTGCTTAATGCTATAAAAAACCTTAAATTTGATCGAAAATATCGGTTTTACCCTCCGACAGATTTTTGGTTTATGTCACAAACTTGTCATTTTTTGTCGGTTTTGTTCGGTTTACTTGTAATAACAGGTTTCCAGTTTACCATTAAATATTGTTTGCGAAAAAAACTTTAAGTTTACAAATATTTTACAAAAAAAACTCTTAAGATTATAAACATATAAAATATACATATATATTTAAAATTTGATAAAACTAAATAGTTTTTTAAAATTTAAATATCAAAAATTTATATCAAATGAATATATATTTTTAACGTATTTATATATTGTAACCAAAACCGAAACATATTTTTATCATTAAGTACGGTAACCATTATATTGATTCGATATAAACTTTTGATATTTAAATTTAAAAAATTATTTAGTTTTATCAAATTATAAAAATATTCTTTAATTAATACTTAAACTTTTCAATCAAAATTAAAAAACGGTTGTTAGTTAATAAATTAATTATACTAAACTAGTTAAACATATGAATAATATGACATTAATTACATTTAATTTATTTTTTTAAAAGGAAAATAAAAATATTTTATACGTTTAAAAGTTTTGTATTTCAGAAATAATAACGTATCGTATTTTTTATAAGAGAAATTAAATATCCTCCTATGTTTTCTTCTTATCTATCTTCTTACCCATATAAAATGGTGACATGTGTCATATTTGGATAAGATTAATAATATTTTAATACATCTGTCATCATTTCAAATGGGTATGGAAATATGTAGGAAGGAAAATAGAAAGATATTTAATTTTTCTTTTTATAAACATAAATATATTTGTATAATAACTTCGACAAATATATTATATTTTATATGTTTAAAAGGTTTATGTTTGTGTTTCAAAAATAATAACTAATACAACTATATTTAGTTTTATAAAAATAATATGATATATTTCTTTTAAACATATAAAATATTTTTATTTTTCTTTAAAAATAATAATTGCATGGAAATAATGTCACCACTTAGTCACTGTGATCACCTCCAAAACTGTTTTACAAGTCATGAATATATAAAATGAATCCGAACAACCATGTAAATCATATATAAAAATAAGATTAGACAAACCTATATCACATCAACGACTTATCTTAAGAAGAATTTGGGATATCACTTAATACCTCATGAGCAAATGCCAAGTATCTTTCTGTAGAGTCGTTACAAATCGGGCATAAGGAACAAGTAATGTTAATAACACAACTATACAAGTTTGTTTTGGTAGGAAAACGGTCAAAGACAACTCTCTATCGAAATATATTAACCTTACTAAGTAAAATTTTATTCCATTTTATAGGAAGCGATGTCACTTTGTGTTCATCAATACAAATTCGAAAATCCTTAAGTGTTTTTTTTGCAAAATATTTATAAACTTAAGGGTTTTTTTTGCAAATAATATTTCCTGAAAACCTGCTATTAAAAGTAAAAATGACAAAACCGACAAAAAATGACAAATTTGTGGCATAACCAAACCAAAAATCCATCGTAAGATAAAACCAATATTTTCGATCAAACTTAAGGTTTTTTATAACATATCATTATCCTCGTGTCAAACCAGTATCAATTAGCTTTAAATAAAACTTATATATATATATATATATATTATTAACATGTTACTTTATCTCTTAAAGTGAACTTGTGATTATGACAATATACATAAATAAATTTACACGTCTTTATATGGAACCATTGGAAGAGAAATTGATCGTAGTCTTGCGGAATTTATAATATGTTTTCTCCCAATTTTTTGTACAAAAAAGGGGGGAAATAGAATGCAGGATAAAATGATAAATGCAAATATGGGGTAATCTATTAAAAAAAAACTCTGCATATAATTTCCAGGTAGAAACATACATGAACTATTATTGATCAAGGACCCTCATCATGTCCTTGAACTCGGAAAAGTCAACTTTGCCATCGTGGTTAAGATCAACCGACGAGATCATCATCTTCACTCTCTCCATCTCAGTGGCCTCCGTAAACCCTAGCTTCCCAAGCACCATCTGTAATTCCTTCGCTGATATAAATCCATCTCCATTTTCGTCAAATACCTTAAAAGCCTCCTTTAGATCCGACTCCTCTAGCTCCTCCTTGGTGGCCGCCGGTTTTTGTACATCCTCCAGGCCGAACAACAAGTCGTTTATGGAGCTGTGCAAGCTCACGAAGTCGTTGTATGTGAGGCCGGCGTTGCCGGGATGGATGTATGATTTGATCATGGAATCTAAATCGGACTTGTCGGCGTCGAGGCCGAGGAGCGTCAAGGCGCGACTGATCTCGTCGATGGTGATGAAGGAGTCGTGATTGGTGTCGTATAGATCGAAGATACGGCGGAGGCGGACGGAATTGAGACTGGGGGAACGGAGGCGGAAGGATTTGCTGGAGATGGTTTTGAGAAGAGGTCGTTTAGTAGGTGTTTCCATGTCTGATTCTGATGTGATTCAGTTCTGTTTGTTGTTGTTGTTTGTGTTTTGAAGGAGATCGAAAGTGGGAGTATATATATTTATGGTGGAGTGGTGAGAATGGAAGAAGGTCAGACTTGAAATACCAATTGCCAAGCTTAACGGAAAATTCCCAAAATTACACGTCAAACCAAGTCAACCTACAATTAAATAAACACGTTCAATCCTTGGTTTTAATTCAATACACTGAAAATATGGCATAAAACCCTCTTTACACAAATTTGTTGGGTTTTTTTTTTCTTAAATTTGGCTTTTTACTGGTAAATTTTATTTTTACATTTTCATCATTTTCTCATTGGTTTTCTAAGTTTTCTCAAATTGAAACTTAACGTCTTTCCGAAAGTAACCAACATCTTTACTTTTTCCTTAAAGTTTTTACAAAAGAAAATGACTAAACACCAAGGTCTTTCCGGAAATATCCACTCATTTCGTAGAGACCTATGCGTAACAAACATGAACACCATAAAATGGGTCTGAACAATGAAAATTGGCGGAAATTGTTCTCGCATATTTAAAGTTAATATTTATTTCCTCATTTTTATATCGATTTTTAAATAAAATCTTTTCTCAAACCTAAGACTTCGTTTTCACAATATGTAGTTTCCTTTTGGTGTGAAAGTGGTATATGAAAATCCCTGCCAAGAAAAGAAAATACTAAAAGTGTATTATTGATAAAACATGAACATTTTTGTAGTACCAAACAATTTTATACTGAATAGTGCATTTTTCAGTCCACTGGCGAATATGCATTTTTAAAGGTGTTGTTTTGACTATTTTATATCGTTTTGACTTTTGACCATTTCATAGAGTCCGCAGTTCGAGGTGCCTATGGTAAAACGGTCTTGTTTTTGACATTGATGCTCTCCCGAAAGTGCGTCCTAGAAAATGGGCAGTTAATGAGGGATTTTATTAATTTTTGATTATTTCTTGTAAAAATATTAAAAAAAGTTACTTCTTTTTTGCCTTTTTTTTTCCAGTAGTGAATACTTGGTATTTCATTAAATGTTTTCAATAAAATTGAATTTGTAGAAACAATAAGTAGGAAGATATTTAATTTCTCTTGCTTTATTTTGTGTGTGTCTTTTGGTCTCACACAATATTCTGGAGTTTTTGACCATAATAGGGTGGATGGAAAAAATATTTATCATTTTAATGTTATTTCAAAACTATTTACCATTTTAGTGTTTTTCTCCTTTTTCTTTATTTTTTAGTTTCCTTTTCAGTTTTTTTTTAATTTAAATATCTTATTTTTTTTTTCTTTTTTATTCCACCTTTTTATTGTTTTTCTCATTTTTCTTTACCTTTTAGTTTCTTTTCAGTTTTTTTTCAGTTTTTTTTAATTTAAATA